AAAATATTCCCACTGAAAGAGGACCACAAAGAAACCACTGATCCTGAAGTCTATCATCTCAAGTGCCTAGTTTTAAAGTGGACCATCTTTGGAAGAGGCTTCTAGAAGCACAGTGGACATGTGCCCATCTTGGCTTGAGCTCTTGACTCAGCTTGGCTATGAACAGAAAAAACAAGATGCACTCTGAAAGTGCTGCATCATGTTTGGGCCCTTTGCTGCAGTCTACAGATTACACACCCAGAAGGAACCTCGGGGATATTCCTCCATCAAATCAGCCTATGGGCATTTTCCTAATACCAGCCCACCGTCAACAGGCTGTCAGTTACCATCCAGTGCTAGGTGGGGCTGGGCTATAGGTTAGAACAAGTCTAAAGAAAAGGAGTAAGTGGTTTTTGTTCCCCTGTGGTCTGTTTCTAGCGCCCTAATTTCAACCATGGACCTGTAACTTGTAAGACAGTTGCTTTTGGTCATGCTGTTTATCAGTCTACAGAAATGGTGGTGAAACTACGGACACTACTTAACCCAGACATGAAACATCTATTTGCCTCCCTAGACATCCACAGCAGCGCTGGGGGCCAAACCTAAGGCCTCATAGTCACTGCCACTTGGTTATATATCTATATATCTAGCCTGACCTTACTCCTTTAAAATTACTGGTTATCTTTACTACGTATGGGACATGGTGGCCCACACCTTTAATCCCGGCACTAGGGAGGCAGAAGCAAATGAATCTCTGAGTTCAAGGCCAGCCTGGTCTACATAGCGAGTTCCAAGTCTGCTGGGACTACAAGGAGAGCTCATCTCAAAAAACATAAAAATTAAAAAGGACCATTAAAATAAAATTACTGGTTATCCTTGAAGCTCTAGAACCAACTACTTTTAAAATTCTCAGTAGAGAATCAGTGTTAAAAATCTGTTTTGTAAAGCCTATGATTTTCACTTGAGTAATGGTGGGTTGCCAAGATCATGCTAAAATACTGTGTTAATTTCCAACACTCCACAGTCCAAAATCCTCAGCATAGTACTCAAGACCTCATGAGGTTTAAATTCCCTTCTCTACTTTCCATTCCCCCAAGGCACAGGCTGAGGGACTCCTTTCATGCCTTGTTTTCATTAGACCTTTGTACTATTCTGATACCTTTTGTAATTTTCTCTTAAAGCCCTCCATTCCTGACTACCTCAATGTGTAGGTTTCTTCGTTGCTTTGGGTGAAACGACTTTCACCAGAATGAGCCCAAGGCTAGCACCTTCCTGCCTTTGACCGTTTTTCCAACCACAATTTCCTTAAGGTTCTAGTGAACTAACTTGTGGCCGTGAAATCCACAGCTCTAATCTGATGAACACAGCTAACCACTAAATTGCTACTTTCCTTTTGCCCCAAGACCACGCTCCTAATGAGCTATATATCCAAGAAAGTGCACTGACAGAAACAGGACTCACAGGACTCTCAGATTGTCAACTGTCAGCACTGGAATAAGCCTTTCTTGGAACTGACCATGCCCCTTCAGAGGGCTTCCAATACTTCTAGCACACTCATCGGTTCTTAGCATGGCCAGAGAACCCATTTTTTTCAAAACTGTAACATACCAGTTTTGCAAACTTAGGCTCCTATAGATGTTTATTGTCCAGTTTAAAGATTGTCAGTAAAAGACCGCACTACACTACACCAACTAGAAATCAACAATCGTACAACACACTAAAGAATTTCCAGCACATCCTCAAACTTTAAAAGGATCTCAGGGACCTAGTTACTTTCCTTTGTAAATTTCCCATACCGACCCTGCACTATATATTCAACTAAAACCAAGAGAAAACGAATCTGCTAGACTGTTGTTCTGAGGTATATTATAGCCTGACCGTTCAAATTACTCCCACTCAGCTGGGCATGGCGGTATGTCTTTAATCCCAGTAGAAGGTGAATCTCTGTGAGTTCAAGGCCGGCCAGGTCTACATAGTGAGTTCCAGGACAGCTGGGGCTACAGGGAGACCCTGTCTCAAACGACCCCACCCCCAAAGATTACTCCCAGGCAAGTAATATGCACTGAAATAGTTTTGGTCCAGGCACATATCCCCAAAGGTATCTCACCAGCCTGAGACAAGTACCAACATAAGGCCATCCAGATTCAATGGGCCTCAGAAACTTTTTACCCCCAGTAAGCAAACCCAGGTCATGATAAACAAGTGCCCTACTCTACATCCCCAGTCCTAACAAGGTGATTTTAATGCTTCTCTCACTAACAATCTAGGAAGTACCCAAATTATTTATCCTTTCCAATATGTCCCAGCATTGAAGCAGTTTCCCAACCCCTGTAGCTGCCTTACACTGACCACTGTGTACATTTAACTTCTTTGCACTATGTAAATCCTGGACAACTGCTGCCCTTTTTTAACGGTAGCAGCCAGCCTGGAACTCATGTGTAGCTCAGTCTGGCCTTAATTTCAGAAATCCACCTGCCTTTGCATCCTGAATGCTGGGATTAAAGGTGTATGCCACCACCCCTGGCTCAGTCTCCACTCTTTTAAGCATATAGGAACTCAATTTGGGACGGCAAGTTTAAGCCAGTAGGGGGAAAAAAAAGAGCGCAAATCCACTTTTATTTACGTTCCATTAATTTAAATCCGTGAGGGGTACAGCATCTAGGAGAAAAGAACGTATGAACACATTAGGTGGCTGTTACACACAAATCTGCAAATATTATTGATATACCTCTCATTACTCATCCCCAAACCTAGTTTTTTACAGTATTCAATTTCTAGGTGACTATGCTTAAGAATCAGTACTTTATAAATGTATACATGTGTTTTCCCCCTTATTTTTAAAGTCTCTCATTGAATCTAGAGCTGGGTGTGTATATTCTGACTGGCCAGTAAGCCCTAGTTGTTCTGTCTCCCCAGGGCTGGGATTAAAAGTGCACACTACTGTGCCTGGCTTTTTTCCTGGATGCTGGGAAAGAACGTAGGTATACTCATGCTTGTGCAGCAAGCACTTACCAACTGAGCCACTTACCAGTCCTAAGGACTAGCATTTTTTTGGTGAACCCAAGACCTTCTGTATAGTAACTAAGACAGATGCTCTACCACTGAGCTATTATGCTCAATCCCCAAACCAGCATATTATTATTTTCATCATCATCATATGTTATGTGTGTTTGTGTGTGTGTTACAAATCAGAGGACAATTTGCAGGAATGGTTCTCTCCTTCCACTATGTAAGTTCTGTCAGGTTTGGTAGCAGGCACCTTTATCCACTGAGCTCTCATTGGTCCTGAAACCAGCATTATTAAAAGACAAATATGAGGCCAGCTGAGGTGTACATACAGATGTATATACATATGTAGATTCATACCTACATAGTGAGACCACCCCACAGTCCTCCCAAAAGCAAGGCTCAATGGATAATGGCACTTGCCTCCAATTCTCACAACTAGAGTTCAATCCTCAGAACCCACATGGTGGAAGGGGAGAACTGGCTCCTGCAAGCTGTCCTATGACCTCTAGTACAAGTACCAGAGCCTGGCACAGTGGCACAGAGTTCAATAGTACCACCTAAGGTTATGGTGTGCTTTGAAGGGACCTAAACTTACAAAAAAGTTGATAAAAACCTCATGACTGGGGCTAGAAAGATGGCTCAGTGGTTAAGAGCACTTGCTACTCTTCCAGGTACCTGCTAACAACCGCCTGTAACTCCAGTTCCAAGGAATCCAACACCTGGCCTCCATAGGCATGCAATTAACATACATGTAGACAAAACACTTACATGCAAAAAATAAAAAAAAACTCATTACCTAAGTCTGAGATTTGGGCCAAACTCCCTAAACCCAGAATGTGAGCACGTCTTCAATTCACACACAAGAAAAGTTACTTCCTATTCTGGCAATACTGACATGATAAAGGAGTCAAAACATCCCCACCAAAATGTGGCAGAAGCTGGGACTAGTGGTAAAGATATGTTCAGGAGACCGAGGCAGAGGATTCAAAGTTCAAGGCCTGCCTAGGCTACAGAGAGAGATCAAGGCCAGGACAACTTAGTGAGACTGTGTCTCTAAATAAAAAGTACCAGAGATGCTACTCAACGACAGACTTGCCTAGCATGCAAGAGGCTATGGGGTGAGCAATTTCTGTTTTCTAGCAACTACTCCAGAATCCATTATCCTCAAAAACAAATCCTCCATAGCTTTACCAAATCTAAAACTTAAGACACAATTCATATGAGCACTGGCCTTTACATTCTTTTTAATATGACAATTAGATGTTCTATAACACCTATTATTTATAAAAGTCACTAATTTACAACAGAATTTGGTTTTATTTTACATCATAAAAGTCCTTAGAGGGAAGGCGATAGCAACTTCTTGAGCTAACTTCAACTTAACAAAGAACTATTTTGCAATATATTTGTACTTACCACCCGGATTCTGTGTCCAATGGCCTTTGCAGGAAGATTGCTTCGGAATTTAGCGCGAACCATGCCACTGTTTCCATGGGCCCGGGTTACCTTTCCCCAGATTACTCTGGTTTTATTTGGTTTGCCACCAGGAGTCACTGTGTTACTGTTAAGAAACAGTATGCATGAGAGCCCAAACCACCAATACAAAGTGATATAAATCGGCTGTCATCTCTTGACCCAGTGTTTTTAGACCTAAAATGGAACATTCATTCAATAATATATGCTAAACAATTTCACAAGGAGATGGTCACTGAAAAAAGCCAACATCAAGTGCTAAAAACCCAAAGAGGAAGTGCCCCCATATTGGGAAAGACTAAAAAGACACATGGGATGAACCTAGTTGCGATAACAGAAATACGGAGCTGTCTTAGAGGACACTCAGTGAATGAGAGGAACCCCAGCACACACATGACCTGACCACTTATACAAGGTCCTCTGTTTAATTCCTAGTAAGAAAGACAGGAATGGGGAAAGAAAACCAATACTGTAGATCTTAACATTGTAAAGCACATGTAAAAAATAAAAATTTAAGATATACTGGGATGTAGTCCACAAATCTATTACCAGTAAAGTAAGTGGTATTAACAGCTTTAATTTTTCTCTTTAGTCCTGCAAGGTGTTGAACTCAGGACTTAAGCACATTAGGTAAGTACCACTGAGCCACATCCTCAACCCAACTGTAATTTTTCTAAGTGAAGTTACCTAAATCTAATTCCACTGAAATATGCAAAATTTCCCATGAACTTCCTCAGTCTCTAAGAATGTTCAACAGAACCAATTATTTTACCAACATCTTTTCAATAGAAAAATGGCACAATCTCAAGTTTTTAAAAAACACGAAAATGAGCCAGGCATGGTGGTGTATGCCTTTATTCCCAGCATTTGGGAGGCAGGGGCAGGAGGAGCTCTGCAAATTCCAGGCCAGCTGGAGCTTACAGGGAGACCCTGTCTCAAAACAAAATAAAAATATATGCTTACTTTTTTGCTTTATACACGTAAGCGCATCTCTTGCCTAAGTAGAATTCAGTTTCATCTCGGGCATAAACACCTTCAATTTTAAGAAGAGCTGTATGCTCTCTTTGGTTCCGAAGACCTCGCTTGTAGCCAGCAAAAGTGGCCTTGCACCACAGCCTAAGAGACAAGACAACATTAAGCATAAACTTATATTAAATAAAGTTTTCATTCTTCCGTTAACACACCACCACCTCTTACCTTGTAATAGTCCGTACTCGTCACCTACAACAAATACCTAGTTTTTAGCTCCCCCATTTTACTGTTTTACATCTATTTTAGAAAAAAAAAAAGGAAAAAAGTAACTATATTGAAAACACGTACCTTCCAGACATATTTGCCTTTCAGAAGTCCTGTTCCCAGCAGGCCTTAAGACAAACAGAAATTTCCATGTAAAGTCATATAACACAATCTCCCACTTTGTCACCTCTTATTTCTTGTCAGAGGAATTCATTAGCCATTTCATGGACCGGGAGACCTAATTATACCACGTTATCTGAGGACAGCCTGGTAAATATCCCATCTGCAGTGACTCAATGGCAACTACACAACGAAATCAGGGCAAAAGCTAGGGGGTAAGACCAGAGACCTACTTCTAGAAACTCGGCAAAGAACGGCAAACCAACCCATGCCCATCAGTGGACGAAATGCACAGATAAGACCTGCAAAGTGAGGCTCCGAGGGCGAAAAACAGCCTCTGGGAACCGCTGCCTGCTACGGAGGCTCGGATGGACGAACGGGCTGACAGAACGCACCGCACAGCCTTAACTACGTTGGGGCCCAAGAACCGGGTCCGGCTGGCGAGCACCGTTCCCCGGGCGGCTGGGCCCAGCGCCATCCGTCCCGCATCTGTTCCATCCCGTCTTCCCTCTGCCTGGAACCCGTAGAAACCATTGGCTGCCAGGGTCCCCGAGCGCAGGGGAACCTTGGGGAGGCATACACTGAAACCCACGCCGGTTATCCGCCTCCGAAGTTGAGCAGCAGGAACCCCACTCACCTCCACCGGCGCCAAGATGACGGAAAAAGGAAGGCGAGGTCCGCCGCGCGGCCTTGTGGGACTCAGGCTCCGCCCCTTCCCTGCTTAGGCGTCTTCCGCGATGCCTGAATGGGACAGTAATAGTTTGTAGACTTGAAGGAGGCAGACCCGGGAAGAGCACCTTTCTGTCTCTTCCGAAGTCATTTTTTCTGTGTCAGCGGCAACATGTACTATGTGAGAACACAGGGAGGCAAAACAAGAGTTGACTAAGGGAGGAGAGGGCCGGGCCCTTCAAAACGGCGGGTGCACGTTGCCATAGCAACGCTTGAGCTTGGGTCCCACCTCGCAGGAGATGGGAAACTGAAGCTGGACCAGAGGGCTGGCGTGGAGGCATCCCTTCCCCCGGAATTCTACATGACTTAACAAGAGAGTGATTTCTCTTTCCACAACGGAGACTTGGATCCAACCCATCGG